ATTTTTTTTCTTCAATATTTAAACGCCTGTAATTTATCAACGTTTCAATGAAAAAAGGTCTACGACGTCTCATTTTAAAGATAATTAAAATATCTTCAAGAAAAATACATAACATTACTGCCTCCAACCAATTAGAAAAAGTTATTTTACAAAATGCACTAAAAAATGACATTTTTTCATGTTTTTTGCTCTTAACTTTAAGCTATCTTTACCAAAATGAATTCATGCATACATCAACATGTTCAAAATTTTATTCTCTTTAACTTTCATTATACATACTATATGTGTACGACCTATACTTTTAGAGTTAATACTGATTTTTACATGCAAAACATCCACTATCAACATAAAATAAAATTGTCTTTTAATTAATAACTCGGCGAATTTGGACCGTACAAAAATGAATAAAAAACGAAATTGTTCGTAATTAGATTCTCTACTACTTTTATTTAAAACATTTTTCGATTCAAGAGTCCATTTTTGAGATATTAGCGAAAAATGCGCGACGCGCGTACGCGTTTTTGTTGCATTGCAAAACTACCGATGTTTAAAAAAATTCTATCTCTGCTTCATTTGGTCGTACAGACTTGAATAAAAAACGAAATTGTGCGGAATTTTGTAAGCTACAATTTTGATATCTACATAAATATCCGTAAAGTTGATATTTTCCGAGTTATTTGCGAAAAACTAATTTTTTGGACCTTTTGGACCCTCCCCTGCCCGCAACGTAGCGTCTACACGTGGGGACTTTTAATATGTTAAATAGTACCCTAAAACAAGCCTGTTTACAAAGTTTCAGCCCAGTCAGTATTATTTCCTCCAAATTTTGTCATTTTACTGGGCTAATAATAAACTCAAAGAAACTCAACGCATGATTTAAAGACTGCAACGACTGTTCTTTAAACATATGTTTATTTAATTTTTAAAATATATAGATTTGTTTTTTAATTTTTGTTTTAATTTGTTCTTAAAATTTTTAATTGAATGATGCTTAACGGAAAAAATAAAGATTTATTTCCATATTTATATACTTTGTCTCTGATACAACTCATCAGCAATATAATGGGAAATGGAGTCAATAAAAAAGTAAATATTGTAGAAACATTCGTTCTACAATATCACTGAAAATCGTTAAAAATTAAAAATAAATTAATTTCTCCAGTTTTGCTAAAAACTAAAACCATTTGTTTTGATAGCATAACTTGGCAATATTTTACTATATCAGATACATACATTTAATGTAATATGCTGTTCATTCATACTGTATACATAAATAAACTAATTCGCAAAATTATTGATAGGCTATCCTTTCGTTTTTATTTATCACAAATACAATTTCCCACCGTGTGATTAATTTGATTCACGCACAATAAATAGCTCTAGTATACCTATTTCACATGTTTTTCGTTGACATGACAGTTTTCTCGAATAGAGATTTTCCTTACAATAGATCTATTATTTTATTCACAGTAAAATCAGTGCTTTTAAGTAATAAGTTCTAAGAATAATCAGTGAATTCTGTTCTATTTTACTTTCATCCTTCAATTTTCGTATTAATGAATTTAAATGAAATTGTGTTTGATAGATATTCCAACATTTTACACGAAAATGCTTTTCAACTGCTTGGCATAGATCCACATGTAATCAAAGAACATGCAAATGATTTTAACTGTCACAAGTATCAGACAACCTTTAATCACTATCGATTAAAGTTTTATTAAAAAATTCTTTTATTTTTTATTAAGTACTTCGCTTTTTCAGTTAATTAATTGAAATAAAAAAAAGCTCGAGAAATAGAGAGAGAGAGAGAGAGAGAGAGAGAGAGAGAGAGAGAGAGAGAGACGAATTTACGTAGAATTGTAGATAAATAGTAGGACAAATAAAAATTGTCCAATTTGCGTAAATGCTTCAAATTTCTTAAAAATTTTTTACAGTACGTACAAAAGGAAAAGTCTTCGAGTTCTTTGCTTTAAATTATGTTTATATCGCTGATATCATTTGTTATAATAAACAATGTTATTAATGTATGAGATATATTATGACGAATAAAGCACATCACTTATACGTACCATAATTAGTTGTAATAACAGTACTGCCAATCTTGCAAAATGCGTAAAAATTCGCAACTGAATCGCAATTAGCTTTTAAAATTCTATGAAGGCCGCTTGATTAAATCGCCGCTATATCCGTGGGGAATGTTGCAACGTTAGAGAGTAAGCAGGATGAGGGAAATCTGCCGCAGAATGAGTCATATATTAAAAAAAGAGAGAGCTTTGTGAGAAATATCGTAGTTAATTAAAAGTTCCGGTGACGCTCGTTCTCCTATCTGCTCCCCTTGAAGCAGATTTACACAGTGCATGCAGTTTTTTTTACGACACAGATGCTCACAACATAACGCTTCTTTTTTACTACGTTGCATGTTACAGTTAGACAATTTTCGTTGTCGCTGCAGTTTATGATTTCGACTTCACTTCACTTTTGCCATATGTTGGTCGCACAAACGATTGAAACATGTTGGCTAAAAAACTAAAAAAGTTTCCAGTTGATCGTTCGTTACAAAAGCAAGAAACCTCATAGTTAACAATTGTTTGCTACTCTAACATGAAATATTTACGCTCGCAGGAAACGGATTTAATTTCATTATCTATATAAATTTCATTAATCTTATACTTTTTATAGAAATATTGTATTAACTTGTATAATTCTAAAACAAATATATGTATTTGATTACTGCTTATTTTAAACGATTATCTTATTAAGATTGGCAAATTTTGAGAAATGTTTACGCGTTTATATATATTTTACAACAACAGTTTAACCGATAAAAATGCTACGCATTTCTCAACCGCAATGATTAAATCTTATGGTCACCGGACTTTTCATCACTCAAAGGGAGTGATAAGTGGACGGAGAGGAAGAATAAGAGGAAACCGAAGAAACCTCGAAGATGGAGGAGGTCCTGTTGCCCACACGTCGAGAGCGAGTGCACTCCAGTAAAGTATTATCTCGAGAAAAGAAGAATGGTAATCCTTCTTTTGCGCGCTTGCAGATCTTAGAGTACAAACATATAATGCGATTTAAGTGATAGAAGCCTTTGTATGTCAGCAATATTACAAATAAAATTCAGGAAATAAAAGAAGATAATATTATAACGTGGAAGTAAGGAGAGAGAGACATTTCTGCAATTACAAAAATCTCTGGATTACCAATAGGGGTTTCTTGTTTGCTCATTTAAAAGGAAATTGGTAACAATGCTTTTTTAGTCTTTCCCATGAAACATATTTCGAGATTCTATAATAGATATATCAATATATGTACATTTATGAGATATAATGTTTAAAATAAATTTTCTTTCTTTCTTCGTTCTTTATAAAAAATAGGTGCATTCAGCGTGTATAATCTGTTATTATAAATTTCTTATACAATATGCTCGAGGAAATAGTGTTCTCTTTTATCATAATCCTGTTAAACGTGAAAATTAGTTATGATCAAAGCATATATGATAACAACTCGCGCGTAGTCCTTAAATATTCCCTTATTCGCGCTAACTTTTCATCGTTACAGTCCTCCACTGTATAACACTAATGAAAACTATACAGAAAGTTTGTCGCATACTGCTCAATAGGGAACACGTCTACCAACAGAGATTCCGGTGGGATAACTTAATTAAGCACGGCTGAATATCAAAGGTTAACGTGAGAACTTTATCACATGTAACGAAAGAAGATGAAAGGTTTACATTGAATCTAATGATTTTCCACGGAAATGGAAGCACAGTTTCAGTTATATAAAGCACGATTCCATTTTAGTGGCTCGGGACTCGGGAGACAATTGCATTATTCTATGACGACTTTTGCCTCTTTCTCTTATCTCAATATTTTCCAAAACTTTGATGTCTTCAACGAATCTCCATATTGTATCCATCTGCAAGTAGTACTTAAAATCGAGTAAGTGGCGAATTATTGAACCGTCACTTGATAAACTTAATTAAATACACGATGTTGGATGCTCGTGTTACGTCTAATTAACTTAGTCTACATTGCGTATTTACTTAGAATATGATGCGCGTTAAACTTTTAATTATATGCGAGAATATAGATAATTATAATAGCAGCAATAGGGAAATTTTACCAATAAAAGATTGTTAAATTAAATAATGCAATGAGATAAATTTTATTGCAATCTATAAATATATTATGTAAATTTTATGCAATTTTTTATTAAATTGGAATACCAATCAGTGTATTGCATGCTTTTTTCTATTCAATAATTTAAACTTGATTAAATATTTAACGGTAATAGAATCAGGCGTTAATTACATTATTAATTTCTAGCTGTTTTATTTACATATTTAGTGCGCTGATTACCGCTAGTCGTATATACAAGAAATGTGATTAAGTAATATGTAATTTAATCAGTTTCTATAAATGCAATAAATAATACATTTCCGACTGTAAATTGCTGAACAAGACGTTCTTTTATGCATTTTATTTTTTAAATATCAGAAAATCTGTAAATATTAATAACAAGAAGTTCTTTTTAAAAAAGGATAGAACATCTCTATTTCTAAATGGGATAAGAAACAGAGATGTTTTGTGTAATAAACATTTTTAGTCACATAAACTTTAAAAGAAATCATAAATAGAACTGTGATTGATATTATTCTGTGGCTTTCATAGCGTACATATTACGAGATGTATATCATGTCTTGCTTCGAAAACTATAATATTAATCTGCATTATATTGACCTGAAGAGCTAAATATAGAGTGCAAGATTGATAGTGATTTTATGCATGCTAACAACTTTCAAAGTCATATGCAAAACGGTCTCAGAGGACAAAAAGAGATGCAAATTATGCAGAAAAAAAGAATCCACTATCACTTTGCGTTGCAAAACTATGAGATATTGATGACAGTTATTATGTGCAATACAATGATATACCATCGACTTATTAAAGTTCGTTAGAAAATGATCAAATTTCATACATGCATAAACTTACCTCGAAACTGAGAAGCCCGCTGTGATCCTGGTCCAAAGTATTAAAAACGTAATGGGCGTACTGGCTTGTATTAGCTAGAAGAAACAAATATTTAAGTCATTTTTTTATGTGTTCTTACATATTTTATTATAATTTTATGTCTGTTGTTTTATTTTCAAAATAATCATTATATGTATAATAATAAAATATTACGATCTATTAATAATTAATTAAGTTTATACATGAGTATGAATTGGTATAATATTTAAAGAACTATACTAACATAGAAACTGTACTCATATTATTGAACATATCAAGTGTCAATTTTATACAAAATATTTGTTTGTATATAATTATTGCTACAAATAACTAAGTATTTTTATGATTTTGGCCACACATATAAATTATGGTATACGCAAGATACTCTCAAACTAAAAATTGAAACAATTTAAATACAATTTGGTCTAACAATAAAACAAAGGATTTCTATTTCGCGAAAAGGAACTCGGAGATGTGAACGAGCAATACTTGAGTTCCTCCATTGGTTCAACTTTATTGAACTCAGAATGTCGATATTGATTTCGTTGGGGGAAACACAGAAGTGTTTAATATAAAAGCATTTCTGCCAATAGATATACATATATACGCAATGGATTGACCGAAAATCTACAGAGACCGTCGAATCCGTAGATGACTCGTAAACTGAATAGCCATCGGTGTGTGTTAATAACTTCCAGTCGAAATAACGCGAATACTTCAAATCTAAAATGGAGATTTATACAGGTCACACATACACAGAAATTATCACACCATATATATTCGTGCTGTGCCGATTGCACTCCTTTTGCTATTCCCGATAAGATTTATCATATAATAGTTCTATGAAAGGATTGGATAAGATGTACTACTTTTCAAAGCAACAATGTCTTGCAGCTTTATATAAGTATTATTAATATCATATTAAATATTAAAACTTGTATTATAACAAAAATTATTAAGTTAATTAATGCTCTCTCTCTCTCTCTCTCTCTTTTTCTTTTAAGAAATAATTTAGTATTCGTAATTTAATTAAAAATTGTTACATAAAAGAATTTGGAGTAATATCTACTAGTAATATTACTATGTAAATAACAGTTATTGAAAATTGTTTTATAATAAAGTGGTACATTTCAGAACAGTGTGCGGCAGAAGTAAATGTCAACTTCTAATGGTCTATTCAAGTATAAGAATCTTGAATCTGGATTCATCAAAACTATTCACTTGAAAATTTGTAGCAGTTCCCATTACACTTCAGACATACTAAACTACGTCATCGGGAGCTTATCACGAAAGACTAGGACATAAAGTGTATTAACTCGTCCAAGTTCGGTAATGTTTGCGAACTACGTGCTCGCGGAAAACGTACTCACTCTATAGAGCAATGGGAAATTCGAAAATCAATTTTCTTCTTTTGGAAGTGCTTACATAATTCATAACTTTAAAGTATATTAGAAATAAGATCATATATTTAAAATATACACAAATTATATTTAATATATTACAACAAGCGAGTTTAAATTACATAAAAACTATATCTTTTATTTGATTCTTGTAAAATATATTTATGATTTTCTGAAAAATACTTAAAAAGTTGTATTTGTATCTCTTTCAAGCTTATTCTTTAATTTTTTATGATATACGAGAGACAAAGCTATAGTAAAAATTGAATTGTTAATATGTTTTATTTGTATAATACAAAAATATCTATTTTTAATTTAAGTAACTTTGCATACATTTCCCTATGATTATAGAATCTAGTTAAGATTTTCCATTGCATGTCACACTCTTAAGAAAGATAAGTCATAGTTGTAATCCGCGCACACAACCACTATCGGAACGTCCTTGGAGAATTGCGAAGTTGCAATCTCCGGGTGAAGGGTCACGTATTTCACACTTTGAGTCATATATATGTATGTACAAATTCTGCATGCGCAACATATAAAGCTATCTTCAATCGTATATATGTATACGGTTGAGCACAATAAATAAAGCATTATCCTTGAGACAATACGTTTTAATATAATATATCTTAAATTATTTTTGAATATATTATCAAGAGAATAATTTTTATACAAGAAGAAAATGTAAGATATCAAATATGACAGGACTATATTACTTTTAACATTTTTACGCGATTATATCTTGTCGCATTGATGTAGTATTGTCTTTAGTCGCTCATACATAAATATTAATATTATGCAAATTATGTTTTACTACGATATCGTTCTATAATTTATATATAGTTATACGATCCATATCTATATTTTAAAAAGAAATAGAGTAGATTCTCATATATAATATTTGAATCCATTTCTCAGATATCTCAGATGTTTCTTCAGACGTAAACGTCTTGATCTACATTTTAGGACGTATATATAGCTACGCAAATTTGAAGATATAAGTAAGAGATGTATTACTTTGAAAATACATCAAGAAAGCGCAGGAAGCAAGCGAATTGCTCTGCTTCTGTTTGAACTAACGAATACGAATCGTGAATCGTTATCTCGGTGGAGTGAGATTTATCGCGATGCCATAATTCACCCATTCGACTTTTGACTGTCGAGGCAGATCTCCGTAATGTTCCTTTATTGCGTCGGCCCCGTGTTCGATATCAGAGGTATAAATTTCGCGTGCTGAACTGCACGCGCGAATTTCGACTACCCTCTTGGGTTTTGCCGGAAGGGTTTTAGATAAGTATAAACATGTCTACCCTCGATAAAAGAAGACGTGGTTACTAAGAAGGGTCCTATCGATTATTTATTACGGTGACTTTTATAACTATATTTTTAAATGACAGATTCCTTTAAAGAATTTCAATTATAAAAAGCGGATTATAAATACGGGCGAAATAAATAAGCTACTTTTAAAAAATTTCAATAATTTTTAAGACGTGACAAGTGGAATATTTATATTTATATTTTTCGTATACGTAATGAAATCCACAGTATAAAATTATTTTGATTTTTCTTCTTTAAAATGAAAGCACGGCTTACAAAAGTCTCGATAGGCGAACTAAAACAGCATTACGAATGAGAGTTTAATTAAAATCTTTAATTTAATGACATGCCGCTGTTCGGTATTGCCCTTGCTTGTTCAACTGTTCTATTTGTATTTAATTAACAAAGGGCAATAAATAAACCGGCAAAATGTTCTTGCTGCAATTTAAAAGAAGTGGAAACTTCGATTGCATATTTTATTCTTTTCTTTAATAAAAAATTGTGTAAGCATAGAGCAATTGTAATTAACATATTTTCAAACAAATTTTTGTAATATTTCGTGTTTTTCCAGAAAAGTTTTGGACAATTTTCTATTTATCTTTCCTGTCGGCACACGGTGCAACGTTTCTCGGAAAACATAAATTGCTGTAGATTGTAAAATAGTAGGCGTTGAAGATAGACGGGTGCCTGAGCCGTCGTCTATTCGGAGATCTTTTTTCAAGGATTTGGGCTTGATCGCTCGTAAATTTGCGATCGACCCTCCTTTTATGTCAGGCGGCAAACAAATCATGATATCAATCGACACTGTGCCTGCGGGTATGAAACCCGGCTTTTTGTCGAAGATAGGAAGCTTTAAACATCTTACGCTACCGTGAGCTTTCATAACTGCTTTGAAAAAACTTTATTGTTTTTTTTTTGTTTATATTGCATTTATATATTATGAATTATATTTATTTAAATTATTTCAATTTTTATCGGTAAATGGAAGTTAAAGAATATCACGCTAATAAATTAAGTTGTCATGTAACAACAAATCGTACGAATTAATTGAACAAACAATTTCGCAAATCGTGAGAGAGTAACAAATATTTAGTGGTTGTAATACTTGATGTCCCCATATATCATGCTGAAGTTAATTGATTTTAGTTAAAACGCGGTGCGACGGATGTAATTTCCGAAAATGCGAATTTCATCGCGTTAATGCGCGGTACGCGCGTAGTCATGGATAACCATATCTCTCACGCGGATAGATAAAAGCGAACATTTGAAACGCAGTGCCACTTTGATCTGGGGAGTTCGTTACCATGGTTACTGCAACCGCGTTCAGAGCGAAGAGCCGCAGTTATCCTGGTTGTTGGATTGTTCTCTTTCCCTCTTCATGTTGATGCTTTTCGACGCATCCCCGATGCTGCAGTCGCAACGAGGAAATTTAAATGCGAATAAATGCGCGGCGAATAAATAAACCGGACGTTATATCCATCGTGGTTCTTTTGGCAAAATAAACAAATCTCTTTTGATTCCCGGAAAATTCTTCCGCATCGTTAGAGAAAAATCTTCGTGTATTTGTTAAAAACACATGTATTTGAAAAGAATAAAAGAACACGGTTAAGAACGTTAATTACATTTGCTATTGCGTGATACATCGAACTATTTATCAGATACCTAACGGCAAAAATGTAGACTACGTAGGAAATATAATAATGTTATCTTTGTAATTAAAAATATGGATATTCTTTTTCTCTCACTCTCTGCAATTTTATATTAAGATTTATATTAAGAATTATAACAAACGTGTGAGTAATAAATGTTATGTGTATTTGTGAGACAATTTTGGTGTTCTCGAGAAATACGACTTTCTGCAGTAATTGAAAATATGCGTCCTTTTTGTTAAAATATTTAGCTACATAGTGTTCTATTTGTGTAGCATCTATTTCGTAATACAGTATATTTGCATTTTTTGTAGCAGAAAAATCCTATTTGGCTGGCAAAAGATACTTGCATACCACGTAAAAACACGATATTGTTACTTTCTTTTCTATTAAAGTTTTTTTAAGCAGTAAAATGTATGTAATAGCTAACTTATTAATCTTTTTCATTAATTAAAAAATAAAAAAATAGAAAATTATATTAATCATTTTATAATTTTATATTATTTTTTAATTAAAAACGATTTATCATTTTTTGCATTATTTACTAATTGTTACAGAAGAAAAATCATACTTAATAATTATATTAAAATATCTGAATTCGTACCTCCTTGGGGAAAGAACTTTGAATAGATACACTTGAAAGTATCCTCCCTGACGACTCCCGTAGGACATTCAGCCTTGAAGCCGCGATATATTCTCTTCAATTCGGCCTCTGTGAATCTGGTTGCTCGACAAAGACTCGCTAAGGAGTCTGGCCTGTATCTCGGTGTTTGCTCTTCCTCGTATTCCGAGTCTACGAAATAAAAGCAGAACCCGTGTTAATCACAGAAAAGAAATCGGCAAATTCCGTTCATGTATCACGAATTCGTCGGACCGATAGAAAGCTCTAACAAGATTAAAGAACTTTGTTGAAAGGTCAAGACGAAATGCTACGTTTTACCGAGATTCTAGCAACAGATACGAATAGTGCAACTATTGATGCAATATTTATAATTAAATAAACGAAGAGTATGCTATTAAATACGAAGAAATTACACCTCTTTAAAACACATTATGTAAATATATCTTCCGAATGACAATATTTTTCTCATATCTTTTAAATAATTAAAAAATTAATCTTCTCAGTTCTTAGCTAATATCACATTAAAGAAAAACATTTAATGATATTTATAGTTTTATAGTACACAGAATAAGAGCTGTAGATATTATATTTTGTAATTTATTACTCTCAAATACGAGGACTGAGTATGTAAAATTTTATGCGAAATAACTTTGAACTGACATGCTATCTTTTTCAGATGTTATTGCCTAGAATTCGATAAAACTTGACATCATTTTCCTACTGCTATTTCGGTTTCCTTTTTTTTTTTTTTTTTTTCGATGTGCGATACATCAATCGATGTGGGTATATAAAGCTAGGATTCGACGACACATTGCAATCGCGAATAGAAGCCTGAGATTGAACTGCAAGATTCAAACTCTCGTGTGATATTGCAAATAGTCTGCAGTGTTACATCACATGGAAATTTTAAATATTGATTCTTAGGTTCTAGTACTTAATTGTCGTATTATCTGTTTCTAGTTTAAGGAAAATATATTTAAATATATTTAAATATATTTAAATATGTTTAAATATATTTAATGTGCAATATATTTTAAAAATATAAATTATATTTTTTAGAAAAATGCATAATTTCAAAAGTGCATGCAATCAAGTTTCAATATATTGTGCATACAGTAAGTGCTATTACATTTTGGCGCGTCTATTAAAGTTTAACAGCATTTACTTTAACTCTATGATTGAGTTTGAGAAAATATCGGAAATAATTGCACTTATCTAAAGGCAATTTCGTAAATTTCATGATATTTTGTATTGGAGTTTTGGCTACAATATAGCGGCAATTGAGCGGATTTTTGTACGTTCGAATTGATGTCTACGAGAATAACGAAACGTGTAGTAGCTCGCGAAATCTGGGAAGTACATTCATAAAGTTTCACGGTATGTGTGAGTGGCGGTGCTGCATTACTGCGCCTCATTTCCCATGGGATAGTTCCTTTTATCCGAGGGAAAGGCCGTCGAACTTTTAAGAAATCTGAATGCAGGATGACCTTCGGTGCAGTAAAGTACAGCGTTTATGAGACCGGCACTGGAGCGAGACGCAAGCAACCACGATGTGCTCGACGAGATTTTGTAAAAATTGCTCTTCCTTGTAGTTTGAAAGCCATCCGTTCTGTATCTCATGTGGCTCATACAATATTTATAAGATTTCATTCAACGTCGCAACGTTGCGAGATCAAAGATGAGGTGAAGTTTCGAATCGTTTGCCAACCTGACAATCGGAGCAAGCATATGACGGATTTGCAAATTGTATTTCGCGAATATTGCTGTCACTGAAAAACAGCGTTAATAATAGAACAACGTAAAGTTTGGTTGAGCATTTATTTTTATTTTACTGTAAAGGAAGTCTAAATAAAAAATGAAGATAGAATTTATCTACCCGCAGGTATGTAAAAGGAAAAAATATGCATGAATTCTTTGATAAACGAGGACAGCGAATATGTACGCAAGGGAATAAAATAACATATATACATATATTTCTCCTAAAATGATTTAAATTTTAGGGTCACATTTACAAGTTAAAATTTTGTATAACAATAACATTGCACGTAAAATATGTAAGTAAACTGTTTATTTTAAATAAAATTTTCTAAAAAAAATTTTAACAAGTAGTTAAAAGAAAAGAGAGATAAAAATATTTTACTGTTTGAATAATTTTTTATAAACAATTATAATTGTTAAAATGTGCATTTGGATAGAATTCAGAAATTGCACAGATAGAATATAATTGAAGAAACGTTGTGCGACTTATATATGCGATAAAAATATTTTACCTTACATTTTTAGACGGAAAACGAATTTTCGTTATTTCAACCGTTATAAGCGATCTGAATGAAGTGATTTCGCAATAAATCTCTTCCACATGGTGAAACATTGCCGCGCGCACAAGTGTACAGTGAAAATCGAAACGTATCGTGCATACGATACCCTACTGCTCTCATACAGCACGGAAGATGAGAGTGGGAAGAGAGATATTTTTGCGTACTTCCACATATACACGGAAGCTTACGTTATGTTTTCCACAGGAAAGGTTACGGAAGTTGGAAAGTGGGAATGTAATCCAGTGTTGGAATTTAAATCGAATCGTCTTGTTTCGACAGCAGTGGATTTTTCAGATTCGATCTACAGACAGACAAATGTAACGCGCGAAATAAAGGGCAAAAACGAGACACGTCGAAAATTGGTGCGAAACTCTCTTGCGAGGAGAACGATAACAAATGTTTGGGAAGTGAACATGTGGTGTGTATTTGTATTACAACTTCGGTAATTTCGTTGGGAGTTTATGACAGCGTGAAATCAACTATATAAGAAGAATACGCTTGTGTCATTGTAGAGAATTCAGCAAATTTTCATTGAAATGTTTCTAACAACAAGTATTTTATCAATTGAAAAAATTTCTAGTCTGAATCATGTAGTTATGTCGCTGCAACTTGTCACGCTTCATAATTATTAACCACGATAAAGACTACAATAACTATAAAATAACAACAAGCAGTATTTAATTTATTATAACAATATCCCCTCGCTTTATAAATTATATAAAGCGAGAGAACCTTTTCCTTTATCGTATCTAACAATATAGCTATCACAGAATTTTAGATATTACTTCTACGCTATTTTCTCTAAAAACAACATGTTGACCGTCGCAGAAAGAAAGAAACTTCAAATTTAATCTGGACGAGGTTGTTTCCGCACTCCTCCGCTTTTCCTGTCATATACTCTTTAAGCAAAGGGTCGGTTTGACCGAGCGTAAATAGGGTCAACGGCGAGGCAACATCCGTTCGACCCTACGTCTCATTCCGGACGATGGTCTAGGGATGAAGACCGAATTGTGGACTTCGATGATTCCTCCACTTTCGAGATATTGGATCTGTGCGGGGGATGAAAGGCATTCCTCGCGGAATGCATCCGTTGCCGTCGGATACAGGCAGGATGCACATCGGTCGCTGTTTCTTGATGAAAGGCTGGACTATTGGAGTTTCCGTCAATGCGTTCATCGACTGTGATCCCGCAGGAATGTATTATACGCTGGCAAATTGAATGAGAATATTCGACTGTTTATAAATGGTTCCAGAGAGACCGAGGTAGGCTTTTGTATATGCGTTTCCTTCAAAAATCATGTAATTTTGAGTGATTTAAAAATCACGAGATATAAATAAAATCTAAATAAGTTAGCAGATTGTGTAACTTTTTGTTTAATTATATCCATATCTAAAAAAGGCACGTTATCTTAAAATTGGTAAGAAAACAGCTTGATGAATTTAACGAAATATTTTTAATCCTCCTGTTTTAATCCTGCATATTGAAATCTGTAAAAAAATGAATAATTGTAGATTATTCCGATATTCGGACTTTTTAGCTTGAGCGAGATAGAGTTTGCATAATCGGATTAATTTATGCGACATCTCGCATAGTCTTGTCTTTTTTAACCAGATCGTATTGAGCAGGAAATGTGATTACGTTAAACAGAAATTCTATTGAATTTTTATGCACATTTTTGTTATTAATGTATGTTTATAATAAATGATCATTTTGATAAATAAAGAATTTATATTATTCTAAATGTCATTCATGTCTTTTTGAAAAATAGAAAAAAATATAAATATTAAAAACTGCAGAAAATTTTTGTCTTAATAAATATGAGTAATTAAATAAAATAATAATATATATCATGTTTTGTAAACAGAAATATTTGCGAAAATAATTAATTCAAAACAATGTAGCTTTTTATTATAACATCCTTTAACAAAATTAAAAGAAATGATAATTGTAAAACCCTTTGTTTTATCTTGATAAAATAATAATATATGTATAAATTAGATATGAAAAGTTTTATTTTGACTAACTTTTTTGCTAATTTTATTGATTTTTGTTTAAAGCGCGCATGTTTCATACATTAAAATAATTTATTTCAAGATTTTCAATGAATGGCTTTTCTTCATGATTAATTAACTTTGTTTATATGCTAAAATCTTTTCCCAGCAATGAATCAAGAGTGCTCAGTTAACAACGTACGTGACTGTGACTCATTTTATGTCGTGCAACGTTCTATCATTCCGCTGCAATATAAATATTTTATTCCATCTCATTTAAATGCAACCGCGGTCAAACCTCAATTAATACGTTGAGTGCAATCTAAATCGTATGCTTAATATTTGATTATGGTTATATCTAAGATATAAGTATTGGCATCATCGCGCTGATAAATATAAATTAAAATAAAAAATAAATATAAAAGAATATTCGCCTTTACTTATCTTTCTAAGATTAGTAGATTAACATTATATAAGATAGAGAAAATATGATGACTTTGAACATTGTTCTTTATAATTTTAACAATGCATCTTAATGATAATGTGAAATACAGAGTTTTGTAAATAGATTGTATATATAATATACCAGTAATTTACTTATTTAACCGTTGTTGTAATGATAGATGTATGGACGTGTACGAATATAATAATTATTAATACTGTTTACGCGCAGAACATTAAGGTATCATAAGCTGCAATCGAATACGGTTCATTTGGCTTGCAGCTTGCATTTATTGCGAGAATATGTAATCCTTATATACATTTTTGCATAAACCGACGCAAGAACTGCTTTTGTGTCCAACTATAATTAATCTAAATTAATCAAAATTAAAATTTTTATAAAAAAATATATATATACATACAGAGAGAATCTTATATTATATTTTAATTTATAATGTTCTTCAAAATATATTAATTTTTTTTAAATTTTCGTTTTTCTTTTAAAATATATTTTGAAAATAAATGCAAAAAAATAAATTAATTAAAAGCATATTTCATACTACACATTACATCAATGTCATAAACAGATTTGCTTGACGACAAAAGATAATTAAAAATTATTATCTGCTTAATCAACCAGCTAGAATTTATGAACACATGTAATGCATATACTGAGCATGTTTTTGCAATATTGATCCGACAAATACGTCATTCCAATAAAATTATGGTTGAGAGCATCCAGCAGATAACAAATGCAAGGCAAGCGTTTGCGAACAGTATTTCACCGTCCTTCGCACCGATACGTCGCACGGTATGACGATGTTGGTTCCAGATATTTCCCTCATAAATTTGTTTGTGAAAATGTAATTTGCGGATGAAACCGCACCCGGACTGTATGAATTTTCATGAAGTTTGCGACCCCGAATCCCCAGGATACGTTGCGTGGATATCCTGTCGGTCTCCAGAGTATTGCGTGATGAAAGTACGCCTTTGGCGACCACGATAGGTACGTGAAACAATAGCATAAGTTGTCTGTGAAACTACTCGCCATGCATGATAATATAAAATAAATATAAATATTCCATGATTTTGAGGTATTTTAATCAAATTAACAATTTTTCATCTCGTATTTCGCCTCAAGCTGCTAGACATTTTTGACATGTTTAAATGGATACTAAGATGTCATATAAAAGAGCTTTTTTCATCTTCTCATATACATCCTAATGTCTAAATTGTATGCAGTAATTTTGACATATATTACAAATTTTCACTATTTTATGCGCCTAATAAACGTTTATGCGCAACATTTTTAAATAAAGTTTTAATAAATTGTCATATTTTATTTTTGAAATTACTGTTTATTATGCATGTTAAAAATAGATTACAATTTACTTAGAAAAATTTATTCTTTTATATATAAAATTTACATTTACATGTATAAATAATGTTTTAAGATAAATAATATTATTAATATGAAATATTTTAAAATATGTGTGTATCAACGACATAGAAATCGTTTTCTATTTCATCGGTAAAAAGCTGATAAACTTTTATTAATACAGGGATGTGTCAATTACTGTAGTTTATTGGTGCATCCGAATAAGATCAATCGAAAAAAGGATACAGTTTAATGAGAAGGCAAGCAAACTATGTAGATGCAAGTGTCGTGCAACATAGATGAGCAGTAAGACACGTGAGTAGCGTGCAGTGTTGGTTAAAGCGTCAGCAAAACCCTGGAGATCACATTTCACGAACAAGTACGCGAGTCACTCTTTCACTGGTTGTCCAATAGAAAACAGCATATAGATACGCAGACATCGGTTCATCGAATACATTCAGGTTTATAAAACGTAAAATGTTATTCCCGTATGGTTTCTCGATCCTTGAATATACGAGAAAAAAGAAAAGTCGCTTCTTTCAACATAGCATTTTCACGTATGCACATATAAGAGTTGTTTCACACATTTATCGCTGCCGGCTATCATTTATGGTATATTGATAATTTTGTATGTATTATTTTGTAATATTACTATACCTACGTAAATATAACTATAGAATTAAAGCATAATTGAACGGATTTAACTTATCAGACATCTTTTTAATTTGTGTCATTACTAATCACATTAAAAATTATATTATTTTAATTTTATCCAAGAAAAAAGAAGTAATACGAGACATTAAGTACAATTCAATTTTTCATTTATTTGTACATTTTTTAGGGCAAAAAGTTTCTAGTTAGTAAAAATTTAGTTAATAAAAACATTCAAAAATTGGTTTCATATAAGATATAACATTGACTTCTACATTGATAAATCTGGAACAAAGATACCTAGGGCGAATTTGACGCCGGTCCAGGCTTGCCTCACGTAGTTGATTAACCTCCTGTAGAGAGGTCTTGGTGGCCTTGGTGGTCTTTTGGTAGAAGTCCCCTCCTCCTCGCATGAACTATCGTTATCCAGCGTTCCCGGCGACGGGCCTACGCCCGATAGGGTGCCAGCTTGATTCCTCTTGCCGAGAATGTTCACGACCTCCCGCAGCCCAGGCGCAACGCCCTGCAGTCCTGGTGCGTAATTCGCGGGGGCGACGCCGGAACCAAAGAGGTTCGCGCCGCCCCCGCGACCTCTGCCACGTCCACGACTTCCGCGCCCCCAGACAGTGCTACTGCCTTCGAGAGTTCACAATATGATCAGATTTCGATGCTTTGACTTAGCAGTCCATAGGTACTTTTTGTATAAGCGAGAAATCGAACAACATTAAGATGACTAAATATTTCGTTTTTGGAGACAATATTGTCCGCTGTCCATCCAACTTTCAAAATCACTCGCGTTTTAAACAAATTCGAATTTCATGGCTTATTTATGGCTTGAAATATTCTTTTGCAATATAAAGATCTGATCATTCTAAATAAAGGGAGCTTGAATTATTTAAAAAATGATATAAACTCAAGATTTAAAACTGTTTAGTTTCTGAGTAATGATCTTCGAGTTCGAAGAATTCATATCAAATGACGAAGCGTAAAGATATAGTATTACAACGTAATATAGACATTCTCAAAGGTGCCGTTTGCTTTAAATATGTATAATGCACGCGTAGATAATTAACTAGGACATTGGAGACATTCTGAATTTTTAAGGATAAATCCAATAAAAAAACATTGTTTATAATAACAACGCTATGTTTAAACACACATGCATAAATATTACGATTAATAATGTAGCAAACCTTTAAACTAATTATTTAAATTATTATTATAATATGATGTTTATATCCCAATATAATTCTTCTTGATTTCGAATCTGATTTAAATTAAAAAATATTACCTTTTTTAATAAAAATTTATTTAATTGAAAAGTGGAAATTAAAAATGTCAGTTGAGAAAGAGAAGATATTATATAGATTACAAAAAAGACTATTACTTCTGATTTTATGTAATAATGCTGTTAAGTTTGATTTTAATTCACTTTAATTCACAACTTCATAAAAATATATTACACTTTTCAAGCATTGAATTAATAAATAATATTTATAAAACTAAATAAATAATATTTATAAAACCATGAAATTTGAATTATTTTTGTTTTTGCAATGCGAAATATTATTTTTCGCATTTACTTGGACTTTCTTTTTCAATTATGGAACGCCGTAATGTACCTTGGCGCTTTTTGTAGGAGGGGAGCCCCACCACGGGGCCGCAACCCCCCGCGCTTCCTGCGACAGAAGAGCTGATGGTGGCAAGACAGGGAACACCCCGACCGCCACCCGTTCGACGTTCCAAATCACGATGTCTGCAACCTCCCCCGCTCTCACTGCCACCGCCACCCCCGGCGGACAACACCACGACGGACCCAGAGGTACGTTTACGCGGCCCTCTTCCCGCGGAACCTCTTCCTATCGACGAAGATCCCGCTCGTTTACGTCGCCAGAATTGCCGCAGACTTCCACGGGGAATTCTGCAAGGCATTTTGATAGGGTTGTCACCCTAGCTCGCGCATCATTTTTTTCTCGTTTTATTAACATAACTTTTACGCGTATTTAATATGTTTTTTTTTCTACGAGTAATTTTACTTCTGATGTAATTTTATATAAATATTTGTATAAATACGCGCAGTCACATTAGTATGTTTTTATAAAGCAATATATTATACAGAATTTTTGTTCGCATTAGTGACTCCCGCTGCGATCGATTTCTCAATAGAAGCTGTACATATGGACGTGCGATGTCAGCGAATTTTCTTGCTTTTTCCGCGCTTTCTGTGTTCCGTCTGCTTCCACCAGAAGCGGACTTTCCGGCCAGATACACCTGCACCCTCAAAATTCACGTCAAATTCACGCCGACAATTTACAAGAATCGCAATTTAAAGCGGAAGAAGCTTTATGCGCTTTTACCCACTATAATTTTTTACGTATAATTCAGTTTACAGAAAGAAGCTTTCCGTTTAACATGAAAATTTCGAATTATATACAATTACTAATATTATATTACTTAGCAACTGCCTAGTTGTTGCTTCATGATTATTGACCGATCTGCCAATATCTCATTACAGATATTATCAAGTTCGACAAGTGCATCCGCGCAAGTACGAGGTCTGTTAAAAAAATATTTAAACTTTTATTTTCATAATTTTTTCGAACGCACCTGTAACTTATTCAGCCTTGTCGCCTTCAAAGTATTCCTTCTCGATTGATACACCATTTCCAACGTTTTTTCCACTTCTGAAAGCAGTTCTGTTACGCATTTTTTCGGGATCCGTCTGCGATCGTGTCCAATCTTCGGTCCTTCAATGTGGATTTCAGTTAAAAAAAAAAGAAAAAATCCGCAAGGGCCAGGTCGTGAGAGTAGAGAGATTGATGGAAAGCACAATCATCTTTGCTTTGATGCAAAAATGACAAATTAGCAGCGATGCGTGCGTGTCGTGATGAAAGAACCTTGAATTGTCTTTCTACAGTCCTTTTTCTGACATTTTCTGGACCTGGTAAGCTTTATTTTTCTAAACGAAATCCACGTTGAAAGGATTTGACACTTGAAGACACCAAGGAAAATTCGCAGGACTTACGCGTGATCCCAAAAAAACGCGTACCATACACGTACAGGACTGCTTCCAGAAGCGACATTGAGGATGATGTATCAACCGAGAAGAAATATATTTCGGAGGCGACAAGGCTGAATAAGCAAAATTATAAGTACGTCCGAAAAAAAATTACAAAAAGAAAGTTCGGATATTTTTTTAACAGATCTCGTATATTACACCTTATTTATATCAGGTTTTATTAAAGTGATTTGAATTAAATAGATTGTTTAAATAAAGTTCTTTTCTGAAAATTCTATAAAATGCTCACCCTAACACCTTTTCCAGCACTTGATACACGTCGGCTATTTCATTTAGAAGCAAGAGATTCAAATCAATTCCCACAATAGAATATCCGTGAACTAAATTATGGTGACCCACGATTTATTTGATGGCTCGTCAAATTTATTCATTGAATGATATGCGGGCTTTGCCCGATCTGTTCTTTATTGCGCAGAATGCAATAAACCCTTTTCACATTCAGGACTTAGGGCGTTGGCGTGAGGCCCTGGACGAGATCATAATGCTTGTTCTCGAAAGACGTAGTTGGTTAGTGTGTTGTGAGTTCGGTTGTGTTAGTATCTGAAACAGGCAAAGAAGACACACATGCAATTAGTTGTGTTTGTACACGAAATTTTGGCTCAATGATAACATACATAGGCTGCGCAAAAAACAGAGATTAAAGAAGAATGAAAAAATGCACTTTTGGAATGTATCTTGATAGTAATAAAGTAAGATATTTATTATATTCAAAGGCACAAGCAATAAATTTATGTTTACAGTGCAAAATAAAGTGCTAAATTTCAAAGACTAAGTTTTATTTTATAAATTAATTATCAAAATCTTTTAAGAAATACTCTTATTGAAGAATAAGCAGTTGCTTCTACGAAAAATTTTTTTATGTAAAAAATGCGCTATTGATTTTTCTCGTAAAGTTCTTTGTTATGCATACTTGGCACACAACGCATACGAACTTTACGAAATGCTATCGCTAACTCCAGATTTAAATTAATTTTAAAATGTATTTTAAAATGTAAAAATGACTTTTTGAGTGAAAGACAAGTATATAAAAAGATGGTGTAAAATACGACAATTTTTATTATATCTAAATAGCAGTATTTGTCTATCATCCGTTTTTGCATAATTCACAATTTTTGTCAGATGTGATAACTACTGTAACTAATTTTCTAACTTACCGCATTGAATTGAGGTCAGATCGAAGTAGAATTAAGAGTTAATGAGCTCATTTTTCTGCATTTAATGCGAATTCCATGATGACTGCCTATAAATTCACGTGACAGTGGGTTCCAATTGTCTCGATGGAGATCGGAAAATATATAGAATTCGATGCTTGGGCTCTACCACAATTGCCCCCTTTATCTTAACTAGAGGGCTCTAACGACTGACTGCAGTGTGCCAACAATTAACGAGACCACCAATTTCGAAAATTTATGTCGATGTACTTGTGCACTTTACAGTCGTTACAACCCTACCACCAAGTTCACAAACACACCACTCAATGTAAGTGAGAGTGATAAAATGGCTACTAGATCGCTCGTAAAGCTACTTGTCCCGTTCAGGCAAAGTTCTTTGAAATTGCTTCGAAACCGAAAAAGTTCCAAGCTATTGCTTCGTATGCATACGTGAGCTCTCTTGGCAGTCCTGACGATCAAGGATCTATGTAGATCAAGAGAGAATGGTGAATACCAGAATTTTCTAGAGATTTATCATAATAAAATACCTTGAAACTTTTGCCTAAAAATTTATTATAACCAAAGAAAACTTAGATGTGCACGTTTAATAAAAAACGTACTACATTTTGTAAAAGTCTTTCGAAATAACTGCGTAAAATGTTCTAATCTAAATACAATAGCATATATTGCTCATATGAACAAATAAATAATCGAATTTTGCTATGACAGTGATGTTAGAATACATCGTTAATAAAAGTATTGACGTTCGATAGTGCAATCGACTCGAAGTTGATAAAACCGTAATCAATTTCGCGTTATTATCAAAAATAAGCGGTGGAAACTGTGTGTTCGGTATTGCCATAACTCTTCGCGATACCGCGAATGAAAGAGGAAAGTGCAGAATGAGAATAAACTCGACGGCCCAGGATAAAGTTCAAGCAGTTTCGTGAGTTAGGAAATTTTCGGAAAAAGAAGAAGCAACTACGAAGAAAAGAAATGTATCAAAGTCATGCATCCCTTACCTAAAAATATAACTCATCGCATGATGGCTCGTTGAAAGCAGAGATACTTATATCTTTCGATATATAAAAAAGGTTGAGATTGATATTTATATCCGGAAGTTTTACGATCCTACCTAGGTCTCCCTTTGTTATCCTTCGGTTGCATTACAGAGAGGAAACTACGTAACTGAATAAAATATGGAAACAGATATATCTTTCTGTGATTTTGACTGGGAAAGTAATGCGAGTGGAAATATGGGTACGTATATATTTCCGATATAAGAAAAGATTAAATCTTGTATATAGGTATATGCTCATACGACAGGCGTAAGAAATATAAAATTTACACCGGGGAAAGATGTGTTGAAATGTGAAACTGTAAAATTTTACGAACAATTTTCCTTATCTTTTTTTGCGATAAGATTAAGTCTACAAATTATAATTTTTTAAATAGTATCCTATGTAAACAATAAAAAATATTAATTTATTTGTATAATTAATCTAATTTTAAAGATTGTCTGTTTATTGCATTGCTTACAATGTGATTACAATTTTGTAGTTTTATATGAGTAAAGAATTATGTTGCTCCTTTACTTATGTGTTTCAAGTTCCATTAATATGTGTCAGAATATGATAAGCAATTACTGCGGTTCTCTGCGGTATTACGAATAAGAGCACATGCTTATTTGCTACCTTTGTAGGCTCTGTGACCTTTGAAGTTTATATCGAGTTAATTCAAGACCCGATTGTAGTACAGTGATGTAAGGCAACATCTAGGAAGCTTTTGACATTGCTGGATGGCCCAAAATTACCATGTTCATGTCACGTAATTATAAGGATAGCTTGTCCTGTAAAAAAAGAATCGCGTGGCTTATCGATTACGAATTTTTTTTTTACCCTTACATATATCTTATCTCCGATTTAGCCTAGGCTAAAATTGTAAGGACAGAATAAAATATAGACGAACATGAAACCGTACCAGTGGAAAGTTGACTTATATATAAATGCTTAAATTTTCGAAAATGTTTTTTCAAAAAATTTAGAAAATGAAACAGAATAATAAAAATGTGAAAAACGTAAATTCTCTAGACAAATAAAATAAAGTATATCAGCTATAACAAAAACGACAAATCAGTTAAAATAACAAGACAGATATTGAAATTGTCGTCCATTACGATAACGCACTAGAATCAAAATATAAAATAGATTATATTTTATATTTATCTACTAAATAATCATAAAAAAAGTATCAAAAACAATTGCCATATTCTCATAAAACAGTAAAGTTACACAGTTGAAAATGTATCTCGCTTTAGATTGTATTAAATTATCTTTATATGCCACGTAACGTCAACATTCTTTCGGTGAACAAACATTCCATCGACTCTGATCTAAAAAGAAGCTCTTCCACTCGTTGCGACGTCGTCGTTGTAGACCAAAGTGCTATCCAAAATCTACTTTTATCTCCTGGGGCAACCATCCCTTCACATTACTTCGTTTCCCCTAAGTTTTACCTCACGACCATCTCGATTGGCCACTTTTCTTTTCTTCCAATTTTCTTCCTGGTTCCTCGGATTCTTCCTGATGTGGATTTTGCTTTGAGCGTTGAAGAGATATAAACTAACAGAGGATACTCTCCAAAAATGAGGAGAAATCAAAAAACACGAATGGATCAAAATTCCGCAGATTACTTTATAAAGTAAATGCAAATTTGAATGACATTAAAAAATGCTAGATATTGCGTAATAAATCAATATTTTAAAAGAATAATTAAAAACCGAATACCTTTCTTATATGCGCATCTTTCAACTCATCGTAATAAAAATCCTATTCAATATTTCTGCATGTTAAAATTTTTATATTTATATTTAACGAATTAGATCTTTCGCGCATATTAATATAAATATAGAAATAATTCCTCAGAAGTATTCAGATAAATGTACATATATCTATCAAAATAACATAAATACAAAAATATAAGAGCATTTTACATCCTTGTAAGGAGATTACTTTGCATGCCTATGCCGGATGACAAGCGCTCTATGTCAACGTAACACAATATTCTTCTGACGTTCTCGTGACGTCGACGCATTACACGGAGCTGCGTCTCCGTGTCAGATAAGCCGAAATAGACTTAGTATCCATAGATCACATCTCTGTACTCTTGTCGCGCCTGTCTGTTCGCATTTCGGCGTGCCCTCCTGGTCGTCGCGATAAATCAAGCTTTAAACTCCCAGGCCTTATATATGTGCAATGAACGAAGTTCGACCCTGAGTAAGAGCCGGGACCATACTTGTCCCCCCCCCCCGCGAAGGCCGGGTCAGGAAGACGACCCGCCATTGCACCTTCAACAAATCTTCCGCGATCGTAGTGTCTTTTACGGGGGCTGGTCCCAGCATAAAACAGGAAGAGACGGGCCTATAATTTTCAGCAGACCTGTCCTGAAGAACACACGTAGAGATACCGCACGTGTACCATAGATTCGTGGTACGATTTACATGGCAGATACGTCACGTGCACGTAAGTTACGCCATATAGCGTAGCGTTTCACTAAACCTGGGCGACTTACCGCGCATAAATTAGTCCACCTCGAAACGCGAAGCGCAGTTAGGGTAGGATACATAGCCCAACGTGGCACCCGCACCAAATCCACCGTCTTTAACAAACGCTTCGATCGAGTTTAGCCCCTCGCGGAAAGCAGCTCGTTTACCCCTCGCGAAACACAGAGTATCAACTCTCATTAGCCTTCGTTTTCGTGCTCGCTTGTCTCTGTGTTCACGAATAATTTATTTCGAAATTAACAGAAGAGTCTCCTCTCTCCAAAGTAGCTAATTCTTAGCTAATATTTATTTTAGTACCGTCTTTGTGCTCGCCTGTGTCTGCAGTCGCAAGTAATTTATTTCGAAATTAACAAGAGTCCTCCTCTCGAAGATAGCTAATGCTTGCCTAATATCTTTTCCAATACCGTACAATTTACATTTTTCTTCGATATATTAGATAAAGTAAATGTAATTATAAATATTACTTTAAAAAAGGCAAATTAAAGGTTATCGACATTTGAAGATGCAATTATGAAAATATAGGATTTGCACACACGATGTGTGTGCTTCATCTAATAAATATATCATATAAATAAATAAATAAATAGGTATATATATATATATATATTTATATATTATATATATATTTCATTAATTGTGTGCGAATTTTGTACAAGGCATTCATAATCACTGTCTACACATTAAATTAATTAAGCAGTAGCTTGTATTACGTACTTACAATACAACCAAATAATCTTTGACAACCGTATCTAGCATAATAGATTAAACAGATCTCCTTTAGGGAATTGCAAATGCACAAAGCTTTGCGTATCCATTCAAAGCTCAAT